GGGGGTGCTGCCTGGGAGGGATGAGGGGGTGCTGCCTGGGGGGGATGAGGGAGTGCTGCCTGGGAGGGATGAGGGGATGCTGCCTGGGAGGGGTGAGGAGATGCTGCCTGGGGGGGACGAGGGGGTGCTGCCTGGGAGGGGCAAAGAGGTGCTGCCTGGGAGGGATGAGGGGGTGCTGCTGGGCGTGGGGATGGGGATGATGAAAATGTTCTTAAATTGGCTGTGAGGATAGTTTCGCAACTCTTAGTATACCACACACCATTGAATGATACCCTTTTATTAAGTGAGTGAATTGCATGGTATGTAACTTGTATCTCAGTACAGCAGTTACACATTAAACATACACATATTGAAATACAAAAAATTAAGAAAAAAGGCAGAAAATAAAAATAGAACTTGCAATGATACAGATGTTGACATTTGCAGACAGGAACTTTGGAATGCATTATAAATATTTTTGAGGCTATAATGAGTGAACAGATGGGAATTCACTGTGTGGCTTAACAGCAGAAGAAAATATCAGAAAATTTGAGGACAGATCAATTGAAATTATCCGACTGGAAGAATAGAGAAAAATAATAGAGCCTTAGTGACCTGTGGGGATAAAATATGTTATATGTTAATATATGGAACTAACATATAAAGTGACCTAATATGTATGTAATAATATCCCAAAAAGAGGAGAGAGAGAGAGAAAGGTAGAAAAAGTTTGAAAAACTAATAGCCAAATGTTTCCCAAATTTGGTGAAAAATATTAATGCACAGCTGTGAGAAACAGGACAAATACAAAGAAAACCAAACAGGCACTTCATGGTAAACTGCCAAAACTGAAGATCAGGAGAAAATCTTAAAAGCAGTCAGAGAAAAAGGACACTTATGCACAGGGAAACATAGCTGATTTTCGTTTTAAACAATGGATTCCTGAAGACAATGGAATAATACCTTAAAAGTGCTTAGTTTGGAAAAAAGCTTGTCAAGCAACATATTCAATAAAAGTTATCCTTCATAAATGAGGGTTAAATAAAGACATTTTGAGTTTTTTTAAAGTCAAGAAAATCTGTTGCCAGGAGACATAAACTACCAGAAATATTAAATAAAGTTCTCCAGGTTGCAGTGAAATGAAACCAGATGTAATTAATATCTATAGGAGGGAATTAAAAGCATTGAAAAAGGTAAACATTTGAGTCCATAAGTATTTTCAAATTTATAACATATGCGGAAGTAAGTGCATTTGTCAACAATAGACCAAAAACGAGGGGTGAGTAATTGAATTATATTGTTATAAACTTGTTTAAATTGTATGTAAAGTGATTCAGTATTAATTGTAAGTGGTCTGTGGTAAGTTAAGAATGCATGTTTTAACTCCTACAGCAACCACTAAAAACAGTTCTATTTATAATAAGTCAATAGAGGAGATAAAATAAAACACTAAAAAACATTTTATTTACCCAGAATAAGATAGAAGTAGAACATAGGGTCAAAAACCATGTGAAACAAAAAGAAAACAAATGCAAGATGGTAGACTTAAACTGAACCGTGTCCGAATCGTATCATGTAGATGGATTATACCCTCGAGTTCAGAAGCATAAATGATCACACTGGACCAAAGAAGCAAGACCCGATGGTATGCTGCGTCCAAGAGACACACTTGAAACCCGATGGTATGCTGCGTCCAAGAGACACACTTGAAACCCGATGGTATGCTGCGTCTAAGAGACACACTTGAAACCCGATGGTATGCTGCGTTCAAGAGACACACTTGAAACCCGATGGTATGCTGCGTCCAAGAGACACACTTGAAACCCGATGGTATGCTGCGTCCAAGAGACACACTTGAAACCCGATGGTATGCTGCGTCCAAGAGACAC